AAGGTGATGAATCATCTCTAGCAAAAGAATGAAGTATCACAAGCCAGAGGTACCAAGAGCCATCACAAGTCGACCGTCCAAAAATCAAGGGCAAGGAAGAATGTTCCAGACCCATGCAATATTACTGCATTGGTTACTGTTAATCTTAAATAAAAACAGCCACACAGAGAGCATTCAGTTAAGAGTACAAACAGGACAATCAAACAGGGAGCAGAAAGAAAGATCATATCACACAACCGACCTTCAAAATCTGATATAATTCCTTCCAGGTGAGAATTAACACTGGAGTCAGACATGTCGCTGAGCGGCACCATGGGACAGAGCCGCGCCTCGATCAAGGTGAAGCTTCCTGCCGGTTTCCTGGGTCTTTGGATCCCAGAGCAGCAGGAAAGAGGAAAAAAAAGTTCCTTTGCACAGATCCGAGCCCGTGCTCTTAAAGGACCCGATTATTTAGCCTGACTTTCTCTCCCAGGCTCAACGTCACAGAACTGAGAATGAGAATGATGACAACCTCTCTCTCTCACTCCTTCTCTCACTCCCTCTCTCTCTTTCGCTATCTCTCTCTCTCTCAATCTCTCTTTTTCGGTCTCTCTCGCTCTCCCCCCCCCCCCATCTCTCTCATACACGTCAACAAATTCTGTTGAACTCTGCTGTGGTGTTTTATTTATATCAGTTACAGTAATAACACCACTAATGAGCAGGAACACTGATGTCTTCATAAATAAATACTTGCACATCTTTCCTTAACCTCATAATGACATTTTTCACAGCTGAAGTCCCTACATAGCAAGAAGGAGTTAAAAGTATGTATGTAACTGGAAAGAGAAATGGAATTCAACGTCCGTGCTCCTGAATTCCATACTGACTCTGATACTCACTTCACAGGGTCATCAGGACATTCTGCCTTTGAGAGACTAAGGCTGGCTTCAAACAGACAAAATTATATATAAGACTGTACTGAATATTATCTACATGTAAGTTCCTTGTTTGGCAACAAAATTTGTAACATGGAATCTTCCCTTACCAGCACAAGTATGACATTATGATGTTGAGATTAATCGAAACAATCTCTATTACCATGCACTTCTGTGTATGTTTTATTTTATTTTTTTACTTCCCGTAGCGTACAATACACCCAACTGACTGCTACTTTAATATTAACCACCAGGTGTCACTATGCAATCAAAACAGTATCCATAACCAAAACAGGGCAAATCACTCATCAGACAGGAAGCGGTGAAGTGGGATGGATCTTTTGATAAATATATCGATAGCTAGCTGTGTAAATGTGAGCTTTCAAACAGACGTATCAGCTAAGCTGCCACACCCAGACAGCGGACTACAAATTGCTAAATGAGGCTGAACGATGCAGGACATCAGTGCTGATCCAGGGTCAGAGGTCATGCACTGCAGGGTAGTGACAAGGGTGGCGTGTAGTCCCATAAGTTACCGATCCATTCCCGGTTGGTCATGGGTTCGGATTCTGTGTCTGGCAGAGTAATGAAATCTTGGGCCCTCGAGCGAGACCCTTATCCCCGACTCCCCCGGGAATGCTGGCTGGCCCTGTCTCTGACCCCCCCGAGTCTCCCTCACTCCTGCATCACTCTAAATAAATACACAAACGTGAACGTGTCTCCTGTGCACTGCTTCAAATGTGACGGGACTGTCACAGTTTATCCGACACAGCTGGACGGCCAGTCCGAACTAATTCTACACCCAACTGCTCATTCAGTGCAGGAATGTTATCCTGCAATGGAGAGACGCTGAACAGAAACACCAAGCTGCACTGGTCTTTCCCAGGGGTTTCATACAGCAAAGCACAATGTCGGGGGGACTGGGGGGGGGGGTTGTGCTGCCTGAGGGATTAAACAGCACTAATTGCTGCCGTCTTCCATACGGAGCACGCTTCTTAACAATTCAGCGCGGGACGGAGCTACAAAAAGCCCGCTGAATGCATTTTTTTCACAGCGCTGACAGGGCTATGCTTTGCCGGGGCACAGAAATCACTTGCAGACGATCCTTCTGGGGGCGGGATGGACAGAGGGACAGATACAGGAGTAGGGGTGTAATCCCAGACTCCGCTGCTCTCATCGCCGTCGTTATGAAATACAGGTGACCGCGCCAGTACATGCCCTCTGTGGCGGCCCAACCCAGGCTCCGTGTGTGAATTGGCTCCACAGCTCATCACTCCGGGGGCTGTTTACACGACGACCGTATAATAAGTGCTGTTTACATAGCAACCGCTCAGTAAGCTCATTAGTCTTCCTGCAGCTGCAAGCGAGGAGCTGGGGGACTGGAGCTGCCCGACTCTTCATCAAGCCTGACCTTTCGGAGGCGTTTTCAGCAGAGCTCAGCACATACGTCTGCCCCTCTCCGCTGCATTTACTGCACTTTATAAACTATGTCTGTCCACCATTTTGAATCACGTAACACTGATTGCAATGGAGATAATGGGACGCCAAGTAGATGAAGGTGACCCCGGATGTGAGCACTGGGAATACAGGCTGGACCGACAGTATCCCAGTATGTTACCGTTAAAGAACATTTCCATGCATAATGTCACCACCTTAACACTCAAAGGCAAATTTAATCAAATTCACGGACAGAAAATATTTGCACGAGCATGTGTGCTTGAATATGTGGGGAACCTCAAAAAAAAAAAAGCCAAGACTGCCATCCTCTGGCTCTCTCTGGAACTGCAATGGACCATAGAAGCAGTTTACAACAAAACAAGGTCCCAAAAGAAAGTTTCAGAAAAAAAGGGCTGCAATAGTCTTTAGTCGGCTTCTCAAGAATTAATGAATCAGCACTCGTATGATCTGACACAACTGAATCTTAACTACAGCACGAATACTAACTGCTACATCTTCTATAACAGTTTACCTAGAACAGGGTCACAATCTAAACAAGATCAACCATCTTCATAAACCAAAACTTCAACTTAAATGAAACGTAATACAAAAGCAATCGGTGATCAAAATCTAGCTTCAACAACTTTTCTATGTTATGCAACATCCCGCTGAGTGTTACTGCAATGATGAAACACGGGAAGTATCTCTGATGACACAGCCTGACAGTCAAACAGCCAGCCCTGAGGCCCACAAATGCTGTGATTGCTGCCCCCTGCAGTTGTCTCTCATCCAGTAGGGACAGCTGGGAATGCCCCATGGCGGTCTCTCTGCATACCACACAGCTACTTGTCACACACTGACAGACCCACCACAGACCTGCCGAATCCACTGAAGGCACGGTAACTGTTTCTGAGGCGAGGCAGACGCCAGCCCTGCACAGCACAAGCCTGACACTTGCATTCCATCCCCCTTCTACTCATCCACGACAGGGTTACAGGGGGCTCGGAGCACACAGCAGCTGAGCTCTCCAGGTGTGGAAATGCTCCTTTATCTCGGTTAATCAGTAGCCTCTCATTACCCTGGCAGGAACTAGCAGCCCACAGTCGGAATGCTGCTCTCGCTAACTACAGATACAGGTCTGTAAAAGTACAACTCGAAAGCACTTACACTCCTGGTTAAGAGTTCCAGCTGTTGACAGTATGGCTGCAGGTCATAATAGGTACGACAAGCCGCGCTGATTTAACATGTAGCCCGTCTGTCAAACTCGCGAGCTGGGAAACCGCAGCTCAGTACTATGCTGCGGGGGGCACAATGGGACGGAGAGAAACCCCCCGCCCCCCTCATTACCGTTCTGCGGCTGAGCGAGACGGGAAACAAGCGATGACTTACCTAAAATTCTGCCTGCCTCCATTTCCTGAGACCCCTCATACAAGCACGCGCTACATGTGATCGCCGCAACCTCTTCTCTATTCGTTTAAAACTTCCCGTTCTGTCTGCTCTCTCTCCTAACTACAATTATACCAGAAATCCGAGGTCCTGCACAGCCATACACGAATGGCACGTGCTTTATTACAGTCTCCCCGTTTTATTTTACAAGGTTTTGTTTCTGCATTCATGCCTCAGATGTATGACGCATTTGAAATGGAAACTCCTGTTTATATGACTTATATTCATTACTTGCCCCCTCATTAGTAAATATGCTTCATAATGCTCAGTTTAAGCTGTACATACAATGTTCCCTTTATCAGCCAAGAAACTATAAGCGTTTTTTTGACAGCTAACAAGCCAAAACATAAACCTGTGACAGCTAACAAGCATTAACAGGCATCGCCAAAGACAGAAGGGAGGGGTCCTTCTGTAGACGCTGGGAATGAGTGCCACAAATGTGGTTTACATATGAACATTTTACTGTCGTCCATCTAAATGAAGGAAACCAGGAAGACCTCCTTGCTCCCCTAAACTGCAGTAAACACGGATGGATAAACTGCTGTCTGAGAAGAGGACTACCCGGTGGGGTGGGGGTTAAGAAAACAGTGCAGGGAGGGGGGAGCCCGATGAATAAACCACAGTGAGGTTTTGGTTATGAATGGCGCTAGTCGGATTTGATTCTCGCAGACTGAGGCGTGTTTTTCTGAGGTTGTGTTAAGATACCTGCCCCGCGGGGTCAGTGCGCAGGGCAGAGCTGAGGTTCGGGGCAGTATGAAGCCACAAGCCTGTGCCTTTCAGCACCTCTCGGCAGCCTGATCCATCCTCTCGTACGGACCACCCAGCTTCCAGCACCAGGCCCCAGGGAAGGGGCGGGTAACAAATGTTGGCTGCTCAGTCTCTACACAAACACACGTGCACACACACACACACACACAAACAAGCGCGAGAAGTGAAGGGCTGTGTGACTGAAATGTTGCAGACTGAAGCTTCCTTGGGCATGTAAAGTGAACGGGCTGGAAAAGGAGACGTCCCAGAGGGTGTGGAACTCCATATCTACAAAAATGGCCCTCCTGGAAGAAAATGTCGCTTTTCCTGGAACACAGGAACCAGGCCATAGCCAAGCCATACCGTGAGTTCTTGGTGCCACTGGACAAGCACCATAAGCCAATCCCCTGTCGCTAAGCTGAATCCATGCTTGGGTTGAGATGGAAGGGTACTCACTGGGACTGGTAGGGTCCGAGGGCTCCACTCTCCTCAACCTGCCACTGGCAGTTCTGGCTATACCTGATGGAGAGAGAGGGATTAGCACAGACGGACAGCAATGGGATGATAGCTTAACATCAGACAGCTTTGCCTGCCTCTGCAAGGACCACAATGTCGTCATCAAACATAAACACACAGAGAATGTGTCCTCTCCTCCATTTTGAAATCCAGTTCTTACACCAATCCAACGGTTATCAAACCATTCGATCGAAAGTTTCGCCACAATTCCACAGCTCCAGACTAAGTGATGGTTGATGCAGAGAACGTTTTTCAGCGTTGACTAAACAAAGCTTAATGGTTGGAGGAGTCGTCACTACATATCATTCCCAGGGTCAATGTAAACTTGACTCTTAAATGTTCTATGAAAATCTGCACCACACTGAATAAATGCAGAAGGAATTTTGCATCTATTCAGTCAAAGACTTGACAAACATGCCAGTCGCCATGGTAACGAAAGATGGCACTTAGAGGGCTGCGACACTTCAACCACACAGCGAGAAACTGGAAGCCACATACGGTGATTCTGGCTGTATGAATGTTCACCGATGCCTGTGGGCTGAGGAATGAAACCACAGGGAAACCTTACTTTCCAGCTTGCCCTAAAAGAAGGACAATGGCTGTGCAGTAGCAAAACAGTAACGCTGCACAGATTTACACGTGCTTCCCCACAGGAATACAAAGCTCATTTTTAGACATTCCTTGAGGAAATTTATTACATTACTACGATTTTTCTTTATACTTTTCTTATCCGATATTTACTTTAGGAAACTGTTAAGGTTTCATTTGTCGTGTTTGAATGGTTAATTTTTTTTGTGGAAGAACAGATTTAAAAAATAAATTAAGAAATACCTTGTACCGTGATTAAATGCGAGGGAATCTGAGTATCGATGAAATAAGGGGTTTCGACAAAGTGCACCCCCTAGAGGTAGCCTGTGGACATGACGAGAGGACGCAAAAATGAAGGGCCATTTGAGCAAGCATGCTGCTAACGGAACTACTGACCAATCAACAGCCACATAATGACCTATTGACCAATGAGGAGACGACCTATCCCTAGCTGTGAACAAATAAAGGCGAAGCAGGTCCCGCTTGCCAGAGGGCAGCTCCTGGGTGTGGACTTGGCCGAAGAGCGGATTAATACTAAATCACTACTGTCTCTTAACTTCACTGCATTCATTGTTTTGCAGTTATATGAAGCCTGTTTCAACACTTACGTGTACTCTTCTCTGCTCAGTTTCGCAACCCTTCCATAAATGACATTTCAGATGCTGGGGGTTGGTATTACATGTTGAGACAGTCTTGCAATGTTGCAGCATTATTATCCAGGCGAAGAACTTGCCTACTCTAAGTACACGTCAAGGTGGCGTGCCAACACGGGAAACAAGCCCCACACGAAAAGGTGATTATGACAAATTAATAATTTCCAGCTCGTGTTATTCAGAAAAAAATTAAGTAGCATATCCTTGTCAGTCCCCATATTGCACAGAACTGTAGAAAATAGTTTTGGCTATAATGTTCCAATCCGACTCTACGTTAGTTTAATCAATTGAGTAACACTACATCCACATCGAGCGTACAAACTGGACAGGTGGGAAGGCATGGTAATTGCTCATAGCGAACTGAACCTAGCAAAACAGTATCCAGATAAACTCAAAAACATGTCACAAGTCTGAAAACCAGCAAAGTACAACATAAAGTACCAAAACATTAAATAAAACTAACGTTAAAGCGTGAATTTGTACATCTTTTCCCTCTTAGTTCAATGTTTGTAAACGAAAAAAAATCAACACTGCCAAGGCTAAGTTAAATACTGTAGAGTATGAAGTAAGTTCGTGACGCGGATTTCCGCTGTTCTGAGACACTGCTCCCGGCATTTATTACTCACATATGAGTTAATGGTTGACTACAGGTACCCGTGGGTGTGTCAGGCTGTCTGAACCAGTGGTCATGAATCACACGACCGGCCACAGGAACACCAAGACCCATGGCAGTGTTAAAAGGAAATTTAGTTACCCCTTATGCTAGCTGATACTTGCTTATCTGTTTAGGACCGTGCAAATCCCAGTCTTCAGTTATGCGCATCGGAGGAGAAGTAGTGAGATTTTTGCAAGATCCAGCATGCCTTCGCTCAGACAATGCAGAACGATATGCGAAGGTGACTCAGGCGATATCGGGAAAGCCCAGCATTCCTGCTTTCGCACAGTGAGAAGACCTGAGCTCAAATCAAAATCATAAAACAGCTGCACATCTCAAAGAAAAAGTAAACTATTACACTTGTAGATATCCAGTGGAAGAAACCTGCCCTTGAACGTAAAGGCTTCTAATGTTCTGAAATTCACGTGATCATTTTTTTTTAATTGCTTCTACTTTTCTTGCTAGAACTTTGTTTATATGCAGACGTCGGCTCAAAGGTTCCCCTCTAACTTTCCGTGACCTACTTATTTCAACCAATGCTAACTTTTAACCAGAAATTTAATATGGTAAAAATGTCATTAGTTAGAGTAAGTTGCGACCGGGATAACTAGTTTGTCAACAGTTTAATCCAAATTCATAATGCAGACTGCTATTAAACATAATTTACCGTTTACACCACAAAACCGCAAAGCTCTCGTTTGTTCTGCTAGTTTGCTAAAAGATTTCACAACTGGTGACGCATAAAGTAGGCTACTAGATATTCTGGATGGCAACGAGTACAAACTGTTATAAACTTTATACATATATAATTGCCATGTATATAAATGAAAAGATGGGATAAGGAATAAAATGTCAGGCAGCAGAAAATGAACAATATATAAATGCAAAGCAAAACAGCGTCCTTAGAATAAAAATCGCGTATGATGAGGACAACTGAGCAGCATGCTTATCCCCGTAGGCTGTGATTTCGCTTAGGCGTGTATTCATTCCCAATGGAGAGCTGTACCACATTAGGAACACGCCTGCTCCCCCCTGTATGTCCGTCTGCGCAAAGTACGCGGCTAGGAGGTCAACGCACCCCAGGATCAGAACAACTACTTTTACTAGCACTGAGTTCATTAACACCGAGCACGTTTCAAAATGAGCCAAAGTATCAATAGATATACAAAACGCAGATCTTTCCAGGCAAATACGGCACCTGTATATCCCGATTTCCTCATGTTCCGTCTTGATCGTAGTGAAGAAGAAACTTTAAGATCTGATTTCACTTTTCTTTTAATTTTCCAGAAACACAGTATTCTTGAGTATAATCGTCTTCATTAAATGCTCGGATTTCCAGAAGCAACTTGGCGGTGCTGTATTAATTTTCGTGAAAGTTTCCTTTGTTCATTCTACGTGCTTTCCCGGAGACACCTCTGTGCATGGAGTACTTTACTGATCCGTACTTGGACGAACAAAGTTCATTGTCATTTAACCTGTACTTATAAATGAATTGGGCACTTCAACTAATTGAACTGTCTGCGTGCCGACAAAAAGAAAAATCAGGAGCGTGGACAGGCTTGTACCTGACCTTTTTACGCACATCCTATTTTGAGGCGGGACCACGTCTGTACAGTAATCCTTCTCTCAATAAAGAAAATTCCCAAGTTGCATACGTTTTGTCCTAGTCTCCAGGTCGGCATTTTAAGGAGGTTATAGTTTAAACCAGGTAAACCATGTAGTTCCGATAGCTCCTTTAAGCAATTTTGTTAACTACATGGTTAATAAATACGAACAAGTATCACGCAGTTACAATACTTGTGCGGAGAAAAAAAAACATATTCACTGAAGTAATCAGTGCTAATTATGCGCAACGTGAATTTGCTTTCTTGTTAAGATGCAAATATCTACACACTAAATCCGTTTTGATATAATCACAGGTGGCATAGTGGCCATTGAACACAGATTAACAAACAGTTAATCAGTAGCCCAGTAATAAGGGGCTATTGGCGACTGGGTATTTATGGCACAAGCATAGTAGCACGAAAGAGAATATAGGGGGAAAGGGAGGACCCGTAACTAACTTTGGTGGACTAAGCACATTTACTTTTTCCAAGAAAAGTTAATTCCACATGAACATCATGCAGCGGAATATGATGCAACAGGTTTTTATTCATAAATATTAGCATTATTAACGGGGTTAATAAAGAGCAGAGCTACTTGCATGTAAGAGCATGTGGCACGCTTATAGGTGTTGACAGCTATATCATAGAAGGTATGCCATGCATCAGCTCACAGATGACGCCGTCTCCATCCCCTCCTGTGACCCTGAGGCCCTGGTGCCGCACGCCCTCGCGGCACCAGCCACAGCCAATCAGCAGGCTTCGCCATCGGAATCAAGCGGAGTCTGAGAGTCAGTGCGGCCCAGTCAGCAGTCACCCAGGACCACGCTGTTTTTACAGACACAGCCCCTATAATGTGCCCTATAATCTTCTGGCCTGTGAAGGGAGCTCACATAAATACCGATGTCTTCGCCTGTATTTTTCATCCGCTCTGTGAAAATGGCCATAACGCCGGACAATGGCGATGACGTGTCAGTGCTGGCGAGCTTTTAAAGACTGTGGTTTTCCTGTGACTGGCTGGATTTGCTGGAACACGTTGCCAGGTCTGAAGCTATTCTGGTTTACTTCGGAGATAGACTGTACAGACTTCACATTTCTCCCAGCATACTGACAATTTAAAACTACTTATCCTCTTACGAACAGGACCTTCTATATTTCAACAAACCGCCATATGTAGCGTGTGCCAAATTAAATCCTAATTTCAAATTGTGCTTTTGATATAAAGTAACGTAAGCATACTACTGTCAACTAAGTTAAGGTACAAAAACATTCCAACTGAGGATATTTTTAAAAATAAGAAGGTTAATTGTGTAGAAACTGACCCCTAGTGGCCCCATGATGCATAGCAGATTGTGACATTTATTCCTAACCACGGGCGCCGCCCCCCGTGAAAGCATATCACCCCCCACCCCCCTTTACAGTGCCCCAGCTACTAACCTTGACTTTTCTTTGGTAGAGCTGAGTATATATTTCCAGATGCTTTCATCCAACATGATGTGCAGTTGAGACATCAGGGTCAGCTAGTGCCTGAATCGGGGAAGGTTATCACTCTGCTAACCAGTGACCTTCCAATCGCAGACCGGATATTAACCTACACACTACCTCACAGCCCACACTACAGCATGGGCGTCGCCGCCATTAAATCTGAAGGGGACGTGCCCCCCTTACATTTCATAATTATTCGTTTGGACCCCCCACGTTTAACATAAAATATTAGTTTTATGCCAGTGTGTCCCCCCCACATTCAAAATGCTTCTGATGCCCCTGTTCTACAGGCATTTGCAATCAAAATAAACCCAACCTGTGTCTCCACCGGTCTGAAACTCAGTTAGAAGACTGAGACACTATGATTCCGTAATAAGTTTGATAATCTGGTGTTTAGCTCATGAGAGAATGCCGTATCATACCATCTAGAAAGAGTGAACCAGAATATCAGAAATCAGAATCAGAAATCTTGCACCACAGGATAAACATGATAACTGTCTCAGTGACTTGGTACTGTATATACTGGAATTGCCCTTGCGGCTGTGATTGTGTCAGTGTGTGTGTGTGTGTGTGTATGTATGTATATATACACACATACACACACAGTGTTGGGGAGTAGCTTACTACAATTAGTGAAAAAGGTGAAAAACACCAAACAATATGACCTAAAGATGATATAATTTTATTATACAGTATACTATACACTCTTGGTTTATGCAAAAGAAACTTTTTTTGAAACCTTATTGCAATTTGACAGTACATTGTTAAAAAAATAGATATTCGTATTATAAATAGCTTCGATATAGTTGAATACTTTTTCTCTGTAGCTTGTAGTGTAGCTAACTACTATATTAAAGCAGTACTTTGTTCAAAAGCAGCTTCCCCAACACTGTGTGTTATTCCTCATCGTGAGTGTAATTCGAATAAAATGTACGCAAGGCCCCTTACAGCGTACCACAGCCAAAGGTCAAATCATCAGCTCTCTGAAAGGTCAAATCATCAGCGCTTAAATTGTGTGATACACTCATAGACATAACATTATGGTATCAGCTCGCACATAAGGAAACGGTTCAATAAAACGTTTATTTTATTTTGCTGGTACATCTCTTGTTTCGACTATCTGAAATGCCCGTCTCTCTTCTGAGGATCACAAAACAAGTTTTTAAGACACATATGGTTTTGTCTTTACTTTTTAAATGAATGACTTTACAATTCACATCCTGTCACAATGCATTATATAATACTACTGCATGAATGCCACATTAATACCTGCAGTAATAACTGGACAGAATGCAACAAATTGAATGATGATAATAATAATAGTGATAATAATGATGAAGATAATAATAATATGTTCTTACACAGTGTGTAGGCCTAATTATGTAATAACATCGCATGTGATGAAAATGTGTTACATTTTAGCCAAGTTATTACATAATGCATTGTTACACATCCACAGATCCATCTTCGACGGCTGCCTATCCAGTACATAGCTGTGAGCCAGATTTAATGTTATTAAAATACGATTAAATTTTAGCAATTTAAGAAACATACAATAGAGTGACCATCCCTTCTCTTTTTGCTGGACTTTTTGGTACATAAAACATCTGAAATGCCTGGGATTTTGCCTTTTTTCATGTTGACATATGCTTTCTACAGCCAAAATACTTTGTGTGTATATACATATGCGCTGTTTTGATGCCAACCTTTGCATCCTGTCCCGGGTGTGCTCATTTTTTCAAAGCACAATATAGTAAAGTCTACCTACCTTATTGGATTTAAGGTAGTCTGGGCTAAATGCAAATGCAAGTGTATGAAGATAAAGTGCATTTAAACGGGGGTAACTTAAATCCAAGAAGTTATCCAGCTTAGCAAGAAATCCTGCTCTGTGATACAGACCCCTGTAGTTGTTACAACAGTGCTACTCAACAAACCACGTGGCACCCAGACCAGAATTATACTAAAATAATTTGAAAATGGGTCTATATACTACAATTTTCATATCTCAAATTTAGGTCTTAATGGGCAAAAGGCAACTTGGAAAAATGTTTTGTTTATTCTGTTGTTGAATGTCTTTACATGAGAAACTGCCCACGTCCTGTCAACTGAGAAGGGCCTCAAAAACCACAATCAACATGTTTACATGCTGCATTCAGGCCAACGTGCAAAACTTGCAAAGATGCCTTTGTACTGACTTACCTAATTACACTGATATGCATTCTGAAAAAAAGTGTCAGATGTCTCTGTGTTTGAAGGTGATTCTATGCAATTTTGACATGCTGATTTCAAATAAGTAGCTGAAATTTGGCTATAATGTCAGGAATTTTCACAAATAAAATGTTAATTTTAATGAGGTAATAAAAAAATAAAAAAAAACAAACTTTTAAAAGTTAAATAAAATTTAATAACTTTTGAAAGCGACCAGGCACAGTAAAATGGGAAACAATATCGGAATAAGCTTGAGACACTGCAAATAACTGTATTTTCAAACTTGATCAGTTTTATTTTGCAAAAAACTGATTGACAATACAGATGATTTCAGGAGTTCACAGCGACAGTCAAATCATACGCAGACCAATAAGCAGCACGGGAACTTCAGCATGGCTTTCATTTCCAACTATATGTTCCTATGGACAGAAACGTTCCATTTTCTTCTGTGTTCCCTGTGCTCCTCATCACCTGAAGCCTCTTTTTAACATCCAGCAATAGTCCACCATCACGGTGGGTTCATGACAGATTGTCGGAATGCTAAAATTGTCATTTTTTCACACCCTTGCCTCAGTATCGAACCACAACCCTGCCCCCCCCGTCTCGCATACTATACGAGGGGCCTTTATAGGCTTATATTATAGGCTTTTTCTCTTTGTCTCTGTAGAGCTGGGGGGTCAAACACCAGTCCTGGGGGCCGGAGCCCTGTGTAGCTTAGTTTATTTCCTTGTTCCACCACAAATGATTCAGATCAAGAGCTGGGTGGTAACTAGCACAAGGACCTGAATGAGGTTTGTTAAATGAGGGGAAACCCAAAAATGTGCAGGGCTCTGGCCCACTGCAGGACTGTGGTTTGACACCCCTGCTGTAGAGTGTAGCTTCCATGGAGGTAGCAAAATGAATCTGGGAAATCAACAGAACTTTTTTTAGATGAACAGCTTTTCATAATTACAGCCGCCGTGGTGCTTAAAATATCTTTATAATAAGCAACGCACTACAGTTTAAGGTGCATCCAGCATTGATGTTAATATCTCACATAAAACATAAAAATTGAGCCTTGCTGATTTGGTCGAGCATATTATATATGAAAAGTTTTATGCAACGGGTAATTTCATCAAATATAGAATGGATACTAATTTTGATGTTCCGATTTCAAAAACAAGTACAAAAACATGCTTTTTGCAAAACATCAGAAATCATGTATAGCAGTGTTATCCAGCAAAAGAAATGATGAGAGCAGACTATGGTGCCACATTCATGTATGGAGAGATACAATTTAAGAGGCATTAAGAGAAGCACTAAGAGCAGTATTAAGAAGTCACTCCTCAGAACGTTACAGGGTATTTGCTGCCGGATTCAAGGTCAGATCTCTCCCATGCCTGCTGTTGAGTCAAGACCGCTTCAATTCTCACCCATACTTTCACCACAGAGGAAAGCCCCACCCACCATTATACACCACTTCTGACCTCAGAGCAAGCATGTACTCATATAAGTCACCATGCCGTCACCTATTTCAGTAGAAATAAAAACAGTACTATGATGTTAGACCAGTGTTTCCCAGTACGGTTCTGGGGGACCTTCATACAGTCCATGTTTTTCAGGAGCTGGGAGGGAGCAAAAACGTGGACTGTCTGTGGGTCGCAGGGACCGGATTCGGAAACACTGCATTAGATGGTGATTTCACCCTTTACACTCCTAGATGTAATTATGGCCAGCATTTTTCATATTTGTCAGCATTGTGACTGCATGTGTGGTCCAGGTATACCTTACCTTGTGGGGACCAAATGTCCCCACAATGTGAATACCTGTTTTTTTTTAACCTTTTGGGGTCCCTACATGGGAAAACTCTATTTTACAAAAATCTGTGACTGCAATGAAAAAACTAAAAATGCAAAAAGTCTTGTATTTTGTTTGGTTACTTATGGTTATGTTTGGGTAGTCCGGAAAAAGATATGATTACACGACAGAGTGTGTGTGTGTGGAGTTTTCCGGTTCTCCAAATATTGTGTGGGTTTCTGGCTGCATTCCAAACACATGCATCTCTTAATCGCTCACAGTATGACTGTACATGCTCTGCGGTAACCTGGCACCTCGTCCATCGTCTGCCCCCTGCTGAGGTGGAAATTTCAAGTCGAGAAAGTAAAAATCCAGACCAACTAGCTGAGTACTCTGTGACTGAGACTCTTCAACTGGATGGTTGAAACAAAATCTTGGTCTGGATTTCTACATTCTGGACTGGAAATGTCCACCTCTGGGCTTCTGCTACCAGGGGAACAGGCTCTAGGATCCCTGCAACCTTGACTAGGACAAGCGATTAGAAAGTGGACAGAATATTCTTTTTCCACTTTCTATTGCAGTATTTCTCACACAGGTATTCTGGGACCTATGAGACCTTTTGGGCATGAAGTACACACAAATTGAAAATGTCATACATATGTTAAAACAAGGAAGTACTCAACCCTTCAATAATCTTTTACGTTTTTATTATTTTAAATATTATTTCTATTAAAATGTACATATTAATGTAGAAAATGGGATGAAAAACAAGATATGGCTTGTCCCAGAATGATTGTTCTGTAATACGGTAATATAACAGGTAATGCATCAGATGTTCCTAACTAGTACTTAGCTTTAAACTTTCTGTTGTCAGCATTATTGCTGCTGCATATTGCAGCTGTATAATCTGCCACCTACAGTTTTGCCTACTAGCGTTTCGAAGCTTCAGCACGTCTCACGTGCATCTGCATCACTTCATAAACGCTGTCGGAACATCTGCCCGGCGCCTTTCTCTCGCGGAACTTCTTTACCTGCCAAATAAATCAACGAAGACATCACAGAATTTAAAACGCACAGGAAAGTAGGCACCATACCTGACCTCTCTTCAACCAGTAATAATCACCTTAGGAATGAGCCAGATGATGAGTAGGACTATATATATGAAGACCGACAGCACTGAGAACACAGTGGTAAGGATGAGGAAAATTCCTTGGTCACCTGAGTTTCAGAATAAGCGGGAAAACAAACGTATGTCAATCATGGTTTTATGCATGTCAGTAGCAACACTTTCCGACTCATGTAAATATTTTGTTTCGGAGCAGTTACATCAAATAACTACAATAAAGGACTGCAGAACCAGTCTGACACCTACCAGCAGCTGAAACACTTGAATGGGCTGGGCTGCAATTTTCACCTGTTCGGCACATTAAATGCAGTAACATTACGCTCCTGTAATCTGACACTTCGTCGCTTTATTCTCAGACTCTACCTCTGTGTTGCATGTGTATATATGCAGTGTCTACAGTGGTTTGTCATATTTTTCGCATTAATCTTAAGTATTTAAATACACAACATTCACATAATAATAAAACCAGAAGACTTGTAGCTGCATTCACGAGCTTTGCCGAATTCTATTACCGTAATATAGGATTAGGCGCATGACTGGTCAACGTAGGGACCAGGATAGTAAAAATGTTCCCAAAAGAAAATTTGCTGGCGATTAATACTATTGGTATGGCACTGCAGGCTACAGTAGCTGTAATCTGGCATTACATATGTCTTTCTTCGTATTTTTGTGAAAGGTCGGCATCAGAATAAACTTACCGCTGACCGCAACTAGCGTGGCATTGCCGTTTGAAGCGCCGCTCGCGGATGTGTATTTGCAGTAGTAAATTCCAGAGTGGAAGTCGTTTATTTCGGTCAGCGTGAAGCGGAGGCTCTGCAGGGTCCCCGAGATTCTCACTCTGCTGGCTTCCCGCGTTTCACGCATAGGATCAGAAGACCCATCGTAGGAGAACAAAAGGTCGTCCTCTCTATACAGATTTACTGATTGAATGTCCCGATCACTGTCCGAGCAATTGATGGAAAACCCATCTCCAGGCCTCAGGTACAAAAACTTCCTTTGCGCTGTGGATACAAATAAAACTCCGGAATTATCATTCAGCTAACGAATATATACAATCAATCACACAGATGAATAGACATCAGCCTACATAATGCATGGAAAAGCGGGACAGAAGATAGATGGATGATTTAGAAATACCTCAGTACACTTCATCCATTTTAAACAATGCTAGATGTTTCTCTTAAAGCTGCGCCGCGCAGCATAAAATTTGCACTAGTTTACAAAAGTTCAACTTATAACTTTAAAATATTATATTTTAAAATTTAAAAACCTTAAAGGATTCTTAAAGTCGATTTAAAACACATTATAACACATTTTTTTAATGATGATAAATGAATTAATGAAACAAAAAGACAACATAGCGATATATTCATACTCACCTTTACTAGACAGAGTTAGGGAAGAAAATACGAGTAAAATGAGAGACTCCCGAGAGGCGACCATCGCGTTAGGTGGGAAGGCAAACAGCAGTAGGCAGGTAACGCTGTTCGGCCGGCGACTGACGCCCTGCGGCCAGCCTAGCGAGTTATTTAGGTTTGCGGCATGAACATTTCCAGGAAACAGAAAAAGACAGAAACAACATTAAAATATTTTGCTAGTAAAACAAAACCTTATATTTTGCTAGTAAAACACCTTGTATAGAAAACACGAATTTACGAGCGTAAATACCCTTTATGATGTTTCATTTATAATAAGATCTCAAACCACTGAAGTAGATGATAAAGAATATAGAACAAGAAAAATCAATACTAGTACATACTCTTCCTTCGGTTAAAGAAAAGCGCTTTAGTTCCGAGCAGATGCTCTCCCAGTGCCCGGTAATGGCGTTTTCAGACGATTGTACTACCCACGGAGTACCTTGGAGCAAACAGAACAGCGAAAGATACAGACACTAGTGCTGCCATTCAGCGGAGACTGACAGTCACCTCCTGTCTCAGATCAGCCTGGGAGCGTTTGGGTCGAAGTCGTTTTTTTTTTGTTTTTCTTCCCCCAGAGCGTAACAGAGCCGCTGCTTACTTTTACTTTACAAGACTATCATCCAAAACTTTTTATTCATGATTTAACTAAAATAACTTACACAGCTCCGCCAACACATTAAAATCATAAAGGCAAAAATAAATATTTAAAACATATGTAAAAATACATATTAAATATATATATATATGTAAAAATATATATTATATATATATATATATATATATATATATATATATATATATAT